GGAATTTGACAAGGAATCTTTGGAATTCTGGCTTTTTGAATGGGAATTTTTAAAAAAAATGATAAATTTAAGGGAATTTTACAGATTTCCGTGTGATGTACAATAATCTGACGATCACAGTAATTTGAAAAGCGCAGTAATAAAACACACGAATATGCAGATAAATAAATTTTTTAAAATAGTGATCATCAATTGCGGTCTAGAATAAGAACCTTACCCTGGTCTAGGATAAATTGGCCTATGCAGTTCTATCTCCCCAGTATCGCCGTCAAAATTTTCTTACGATAGGGCTTGACATTAGCGAGGTATGTAGTAAAATTTTTCAAGAAAATTTTTTTGTTAGAAAAGCGACCGTTTTGTTTTGATCTTACTGATTGTATAACGTTACATTGAGTTATTGGATAAGCTACTGTAGATCCTCACGTCCCATAAAAAAATACAGCTTACATCACTTGTAAATAAAATATATATTGTATACAATATATAATGATAAAGTTGAGTAATTGCGTAAATTAAGAATCATGCGATATATAAAAAATACTATATACAATTGAAGGTATGATATCAGCAGTATTTTTTTTTATGGGCGATGCTAGGGCTATTGACCGGGATGGATCAGACCGGACCGGTGCATCCCTTCGTTTTCTTGAATTATGATAAACTACTTACGATCTCTTATAAACTCGTCTCTAAGAAAACTTTTAAATATTGGGATTTTTTTTAAGGATAAATATATATATAACCACGGCTACATTTAGCCTGCTCTGATTCTAATATAAATAAAACCATAATTATACTTGCCTTACCAAAAAAATCACATTATTATATTACGGCTTACATATGACTTACGTTTTTCTTTTTTTTGACAAAAAATCACGGGAATAAATAAAAAAATATTCAATTGAGATGATCATTACCAAATTTGGGTTTATCCACATGCTTTAGAAAACTACAAAAACAAATGTGAAAAACTCGTGTAATATTGTTTTCAATAGAAATAAACATGCTTACTAATTGTAATTTATATATTTATATATTTGCAAACCAAAATATTTCCCTGTTAGTTTATAATCTTTCGCAATAATAATGTATCTTGTTTCTTCAAAAAACATGCCGTTTCTATATTACTTATTTCGTTTTATAAGTATCACTATTGTTAATGTCGTCTCTAATCAAAACTGGTGGAATATTCGAGATCGTACCCATGAAGAAAAATTTAAACTCATGTGTAGCATTGTTTTTTCAACAGATATAAACAACAAATTCTTCATGCTGATGTTTTGATGGTTGCAGAAAGAACTATAGAAACGTTATGTAAGAACTTTAAATTATAGCAAAATATTATCTTATTTCTTTTAATGATGATGCTGTCAAGAAGAATTAATATCGTTTATTGAGAGTTTTTTCATCCAAGACCTAAAGCTATTAGGCGTTCATCTATCTCAAACGAACGTTACATAATCGTCATCGAGGGCCTAAGGATTTTTAGATGTTTTTTCTATTAACTCAAGGAACATTAGATTATCGCTCACGAGGGCTATTGACTTTTAGATATTTTATCTATTAACTTGAAGAACCTTATGTAATCGATCCGGATCTTTATATAAGAGTTTACTGAGGGTCTCTAGAACTTTTAGATGAACATTCCTATTAACTCAGAGAGCATTATTTAATAGTTTACTGAGAAACTTAAGGCTATTAGATGTTTTTATGTAATCGTTCACTGAGGGCTTGCGGGTTATTAGATGTTTCACCTATTAACTCAGAAAACATTATTTAATAGTTTACAGAGGGTTTATCGACTTTTAGATGTTTTTCCTATTAACTCGGAGAATATTATATAATTGTTCACCGAGGGTCCAAGGCTATTAAATGTTTTTATATAGTGTTTTTTACAACATTATATAATCGTCATTGAGGGTCTGAGGACTTATCCATTAACTCAAAGAGCATTATAAAATCATTCGTGAGGGTCATAAGCTATTAGGTTTTGCCTATTTAACTCAAGGAACATTAAGTAATTGTTTATTGAGGGCGAACAAACGAGTGGACAGTCACATGATTTCCAACATCATAATTAATGAATATGACTCCGACTCCGACTATTATGATTTAACTTGAGAACTTTATATAGTTACTTCATGATAGTTTTATTTATCGGCTACAAAATATGTTATCTGAAATAGTCTAAAATAAGGAATGGATAATAGTCAAATGGTTACAAATTGAAGTTTTTACTAAATTTAATTTCAAACATTATCCTAAACTATAGGAGGTCTATACAGTTACCACCGTTATTTCCACGATCATGAAGTTAAAATTGGATTTATTCCAAAATGAACCCGAAGACGAACCTGTAAACCTTTGGGTGTCATCCCTTGAATCAATATACGCCTCCCTCATTATTGTAGAAAATTAATAACTATTTCGGTAACCTAACATTTAATAACTGTTGATATTGTATTTGCATCGGCTAACTTTTGATGTAGAATCTTGTAGATTCCAGCTTGAAAATTCTGCAAAGAAATCTGAAGCAATTACCACATTCTGAAAGAAATTCCGAAGCAATTACCACCTCCCCTAGACCCTATATACCTATTCCATGCCAACGTTCCCCTTAGAATAATAAATCTAAGGTTGCGAACAACCGTAAAAATGAAAGACAATAGGTTCGAGCTGTAAAATCCAAGCCATACTTTATGAAATTTCAAGAATGCCGGTTCAACTTGTTCTCATTTAAGTTTATAATGCACATGCAAAATCGGGGCAGGTTACATATTTCGATATTTAAAAAACAATCTAAGCTACAAGATTGTTAAAGAAGCAAGAAAGCTTAAGATAAGTATAAGATTAGCAGAAATAGAAGAATGTTTATTCATATTACAAATGTTAATCATATTAATGTTAATAATGCTAATGTTAATATAAACATATTAATGTTAATAATATTCATGCTGTAAATAATGGAACATTTTTCGAGAAAAATACGATTTAAATTTGTAAAACTATTTAATTTTCTTGCTTTAAATTAGTCTTTCTCTATGAATTTGTAATTATTAATAATCTATATTTTCAACATCGGGAAATTGTAAAAACCGATTAAAAATCGGTTAAAATTTAAGTATTTCAAACGATTCTCATCATCACTACCGGTTAAAATCGATGAAGATTTTTATCGATTTAATTTAATCGTTTTTAATCGATTTTTGTACATGTTGAGTATAACCGATTATTAGTGTTTGTAGTCGATTTTGCATTAGTCGATAAAATCGGCTTAGCCGGCTTAGTTGGCCGATTTTTCAAAAAATCGACTTTATAATATGATCCGAAAATTGGCGAAAAGAAAATCAACAAACATAAAATACGAGACAAAAATTCGAGCAATTTCTGAAAACTTCCGAAGTTTAACTTAATAAAATTTAGGATAATCGACTCCGACATAGCCGGCTAAGCCGATTTTTAAATATCGACTTAGTCAAGTCGATAAATAATGATCGACTACAAACACTACCGATTATTATCAATGTAGTTTATGCAATTATCAACACCAACGATTAGCTGGTTGTAATCGATTATAATTGGGTTTCGAAATTTTCCGATGAAGTTTGTTTGATGGCTGCTGTTCTGAAAATGTTACTATTATCAATTTTCTTTATCATTGTACAGAAGTTATCTGAATTTTGAATGTGTTTTATTATGTAATCGCGAAGTATTTGTATATTAATAATGATGAATAATTTTTCGGTTGAATTTAAATAATTGTAAATAAAAATTTCCAATGCAATTTTTATCTATGAATCCGAGGACTTTCTTTAGACTAAAAAATATCTTGGATTTTGCTCATGTGATATTAAGCCAATCTGTGTTTAAAATTTTATAAACTACAAGGATTATACCCCCTAGAACCCTTAGCATGGATTTACGTACGTACTAACTTTCCTCCAATTTCCTATTGGATTAAATGCAGTCGCGCTAAAACCAGGAACATGGAATATTTAAGTTAACAATTATATTTGACGGGTGAAGTTTTTTTATTGAAGCAAAATAATCCAAGTTTGATCGGGAGTCTCGTATATGTGCTTTCAATCATATGGGTTGTTGCCCAGCAAAACCATGCTTAGAGTATATATTTTTTATATACTCTAAGCATGGTTTTGCTGGGCAACAACCCATATATTGTATGTCACTAATTAATATTCAAAAAAGTGATAAATTTACTGATAAGTTTTTTTATTATGGCACTCAAATGATTTAGCATTAATAAGTTAAAAAAGCATGTCAAAAAGTTTATTTTTCAGTATACTATGCTACACTATTGGTATATTCTTTCACAGTATTATGGTTTATTTATGTCTATATTGGACCTAAGATACACTATGAAAAATTTTATACAGCTAAACGGTTCAATCTTTAATTTCAATGGAGTGAATGATATTGGATGTTTGTTATCAGAATAGAACTGGGGTAATTAATGAATATTAATAATTTATCCGACGTTTACTATGATTGGCCTGCACAATAATAAAACTATTGGGCAGGGCAATAATTTAAAATAGTCTAAACTATTATCTCTCCCAAATAATAAAATTATTGAGTAGATAAATCATAGTACATGCAAAATAAAATGTTAAATCAATATTCTTAAGCTTGGATAGTGTCAGGTGATAAAATAGCTACCTATTAGGCCATACAAACTTAATAAATCGGTTCTCATAACATAAAATTTTTAAAAGTGACCCGGCAACCCGGCTTTTAATTTTATTTTCAAAAAATTTTATATATAAAAAACATATAAAATTTTTTATAGATTTTTTTAAAAACTCACCCGGATAGTAAGTATACTTGAAAAATTTTTTTAGAGTTTTGTAAATTTTGACCCGGCCGGTTATGAAAACCAATTTATTAAGTTTGTATGGCCTTATTATCTCTCAAAACATACGGGTTTTTTATGCACCTGGCTTCTTTAATTCGATTAGTACGTGTCACTATTATTACTAAGACTAACTTGTCATGACTCCCTAAAGGGTTGTTACTAGTGCACAAACTTGTAGCATGACGTATCCTAATGTTTTTCTGACAGTATCTCTATTAAAAAATTTAGAATCTATAGCTGAAAAAGAGTAACAATGAAAAAAAAATTATCAAAAAAAACAATATAACGAAAGGCTCTAATAGTTAAAAATTACGCTAGAATTATTTTTAAGCAGAATTTCCGGTAGTTTATAATAGATCTTGTGCACCGATCATTACTTAAGAATTAATGGTTTTAAGGATATTAATAGTTAATTTTTTAATCCATTCATAGAATTCCTCTTATTTTAACTCTATATCTACAACGGATTGCAGTTTTAAAACTTTAAAGAAAACCAATATTACATTTATTTACTTTTAGCAATTTTTAATTATCCTTTTTATGGGAAGATTTAGAAAATTTGGCAATAAGTACATTTTTTTAATTTTAATACTGTATCAATTTTTTTTAATTATTTTAATTTTACTTTTTTCGTTTATTAGTTATTCAACAAATTTTCCAGAATATATTAATTAAAGCAATATTTTCAAATTGAAAAAACTCATTGGCATCTTAAATATTTCTTGCATAATTTTAATTTTACTATACACTTGACTTTTCTAAACCCTTCTAACCTCTAAATCTAATTCTATTAATATTATATATTCTATTAAACATACGATCATGATTTATTTCAATACTATAATATTAGTGAGCACGTTATTTCGCAGCTATACGCCTGTTTGTATATTTCAATTTGCATATTTCTATTTTATTGCAACATAAAAACAATTTAAATTTATTCTTATTATTAATTATATACAAAGAAACAATAAGCAATTTGCTTACTCCTTTTCGTCTATGTCAATGAACAATCACATGAATTTATTTAGAATAATAAATTAAACTCTTACTACCTATCGTCTAAAGCCAGGTAGTTTTTAAAAAAGTTGATTAATAATAAATTTGTAAAGTCACGTGAGGCATATAAATTTCTACCTGGCTTTAGACGATGCCCTAGAAAGGTGACAATAAAAAAATTTTTTAAATATTATTAATTTTTGAAGTCACCAAAACATTCAATAATACTGTGAAAAGTCTTTTTTACCTTCAATAAGAAATTACAGTAATATTTATTTAAAGATTTTTTTTCAATATGTGGAATCGTGAGTGTTGTCGATTTGTATTCTCTATTATGCTCAACAGAAGATTCCATTTCCATTCTGAATTTTATCCCAGTTGTATAGCATGAGTTATTACATTAAAGTCACGCAAAAAATCAATAATATATAGCTCGAAAAGTTTCTCTGATATTATTCCAATAAATGAATTTACATTCAAATTAATGCATACGACATCATAATTTGACAATTCTAGCATGATACTCAAAATACATCAACAAAAGAAATCCAAATCTCATAGTCCGTATGTGAAAACTGCATGTCGAATTAAAAACGAAAAGTGTTCTGGAGAGAAAATATGCGCAAATTGTAAGGGAGCTGACATTTAAGACCTAATTATAGCCCCTGGGACTATAATGAGGTCTTAAATGTGCAAAATTTATATAATTTTATTTTAATTTTGTAATTGTCAAATGACTAACTCTGGTACCCTGGGGAATAGTCAATTGACAATCCCCAGAGGGCTATAATTAGGTCTTAAATGTCAGCTCTCTAAAAAAAACAATCTCATATGTGAATATATTAATTCAAATTAAAAAAGGGCCCTATGCACAAGCCTAAAGGAAAATTCATTACCTTTGCATGAATAATTATTGTATTATAAGGGGAGTATATGAGCCAAGAGGATAACATGCATATATTATAATTTTAACTATAAATTTTAAATTTTGTAAAGAGTGCTAAGTCCGATTATGCGTAAAAAGTTCGAGAAGCACAATTATGAAAAGTACGGTAGCCAATAAAATCACAGGACTAGGTGCAACATACAATTTAAAAAAAAAATCCTTATAATTTCAACTAAATTCAGTTTGGCTATGATATTTCAGCAACTTTAATATCAATTATCAAATAATAAAAGTCATACTATAAGGTCTTACATTTTATCGTAGCTAAAAAATTATCACGATAATAAATACTAATAAAAGTCGATAAGACTACGCAAAGTTACAATTTTTTCTTAGCAATGTTATTATTTATTTATTATTTTCAAAATTGTTTATATTATTCTTTAATCATTAAAATTAGTTCGAAGTTGACACCCGACTAAAGTTGGAACTTCAGGTGCCTGAAGTTGCACCCGACTGAAATTAACACCTGAAATTAGATCATCCTGCACGCACTAGCTACATTTTAGGTAGCATTTCTACAAAAAATTGTTCATCCCCAGTAATTTAGACCAATCAAAATTTAAGATCAAGTGCCAAAACAAACGTGTTTTGTTACTTCTACTCAATTTTGTTGTATCATTGTGGTCATGTATATGCCGGTTTTTTGCTATTTATGGCTTGCAGTGCTTTAATCTTTCCAGTTTTTTTTATATGCCTATTCATTCTTTGATGTGAGATCATCATACAGTTCGTTCATTCAAGTACTAAGTACTAGATGCAAACCTTCACTCGCTGTATATGCTGGATGTAGTAAATTTGGT